AGTATCCTCTTTACACTTAACAAAAGCAAGTTTTTCAGCCTCTAAACATGACTGAAAAACACATTTTTCAGAGCCATATGGCCACAGTCGGATACCCCAACCACAACTTAACTTCTAAGCAGGCCTATTTCTCGAGTCTTTTATTTACCTATGACCAGGAAGGAGTATGGCTATTTATTTACCTGTGCCAAAGTAGTTGCAATGTATTTTCCTCCAGCGGCTCCGAAAACCATTTTGACATTCCCAGCTTCATCCAGGATGATGGAAGGTGAAGCCATTGACAAGGGCCGCTTGCGCGGAATGAAGGAATCGGGCTCCAAATGATATTCAGTGACCCACATGTTAACGGCATCTAAGAGTTGATCGTTGTAGACTATTCCAAGCTCTTTGCTGCGGAATTTGGCACCAAAACTGCGAAACAAAACAGCAATATTTTTCTTCAAATCAATTGTAAAAGTCTGTCTTTTATCTGTAACAAGAAATACGATGTCAAAGCACAAGTGAAAGGTCGTTACGTTCTTGCTTTTATCTGCGGACGGAGCCACAGTTTTGACTATTCAACTCAAGAGGGAAAGTCAATTTGTCCTTCGTAACTTTTAATTCTAGTGTATGACCATTCAAATGAAAGCTATGACAGCTATCGAGCACTATCTTTACGCAGGGCTGTTTAGTATGCCCTGCAAGTTGGATCCAGTGTGTAGATAAATCCTAGTATGTAAACTGACCATTCAAACGAAAGCTATTGGGCAGTGCTTTCGTGTGGCACTTTTTATTATGCTATGTAGGTTGGCTGTAACTTTTAATTCTGTGAATGAAACCCTAGTGTGTAACGATTCAAATGAAAGCTATCGAGCAGTACTGTCTAGTTCATAAAGCGGTTTTAACTTTTAAATCTGTGAATTCATTCATGGCAAATATCAAAATCATATTGTCGAATCTGATTCTTAGGTCTTTCTGGAAAGGGAGAGGGTAAAAGGTAAAAATGCTACCACTTACTATTTGTTTATTGATGTTGTTATGGCAGCAGCATTGCCGTCTTTGTCAAGGACAGACAAGTGGATTGTACCATCTGTAACATCAATATGATAATTTATTGGACCATAGTAGTCACATGGGTGAGTTTTGTCATCTATTAACTTGCGCAGCTCCTCGCCTTTGTGAGGATCTAACATGTCCTTGACAACCTGCCTCGAAAGAAAAATAGGTCTGCAATATGTAAGTGTGTTTACAGCAACTAAATAAAAAGGTCCGCAGTGTGTAAAAAGCGAACGAAAACTACCGGTTCGAGTGTTCTTGGAAACCACGCTTGCTCCGCAAGTAACGGCTTAATTGAATTTGCAAGTTTCTCGAGCACGCTGATAATCAATACTTGGACATTTTGTAACAACATTGCAAAGTTGCGTGGAAAAGAACATTCGAATAGGTGGTGGGGAAAGCGTCAAGGCAATCTCACAAAAATTGGGAGATGACCTGCATTGGAGTGGCATTCTATCCTGGGAGGGGTGGGGGAATAGCAACAATGTAAGTCGCTTCGTGCCACGAAAACCGAGGGACTGAGGAATGGGCCGGTAGGGGACCTTGTCTTGTGAAACGTTATCTTGTAACTTAAAAGGTGTTTCCTACCTCATCAGTCTTATCACTGAACCTGGGATCCGCGAGGTACGTCTCTTTAGCAGCTACAAAGTTGAAAGCTTCAATCATGCGGTGATACGTTAGAATAGGTCGCTCACTCATGTCATCTGCACTGAAATTAAACCCTGTACGCGCAAACACATAGGACAAAAGGCAATAAATTTCTCCCTGCGTATCACGAAGAATTGTTTAAGTATCACTTTTGTTTAAGCTGTAACTTTTTTATCAATCCTCAGATTGACTAACATCCAATCCTACAGGTGTAGAATACTCCTAGTTTTTTCCCATTTCTACACAAACTGTAGTTAGTGTTCCCCATGTAACTGTATCATAGCTTCGTAACGCCCGTTAATTACGCTCACCATTTAGAATGTTTAAGATGTTTATCAAGGCTGCACCTCCTGCAGGGGGTGGGGTGGTCAGAATTTTGTATCCTTTTACCCCAGGGAGGGAGGCTTCCAGTGGTATCACTTCAACGGCTTTGTAATCTTTCAAGTCTTGCAGGGTAATCTTCGAATGAATCGATTTGAAGTCTTTGATAACCTGAACACAAGAGAAAATTATACGTCACGCTAATGTCATGCGCCACGACATGATAAAGGACAAGACCGTTTATATGTCACGCTAGACTAAGGATGGTTTGGTCACTGAGACAGTGTTCCATAGGGCGGCAAAGTATACATTGAGGCATTTCAACCAATTGCAGCGAGGCTTGTAATCTATGCACATAACTAACAAAAACTGTACCTGCTTTGCCATTTTTCCGCAATAAAACTCATCTGCACCAGCCTCAGCAATCTTTTGAAGAGTTTTTCCATATTTTGTCCGTTTGATTGGGTCGCCCTTTTTGATAAACCGGCCGTTCGGCTTGAGCAATTCGCTGAAAAGGGCAACAATGTAAATGAATAGGTTAAGGAAAGCTTGTGATCATGAACAACTATTGATCTAAAGTAACGTTAGACATAAAGACAGACAGTTGGACAGACAGGAAGACAGACATGACAGACAGACAGACAGTTACCAGTCATACAGTCAAACAGCTGGTCATTCAGAAAGACAGCTAGTCATATGCATCATTCCGACAGTCACACAGTCAGTAAATCAGTCAGACAGTCATACAGATAGGCAGATAGACAGTCAAACAGATGGACAGCAAAACTAGAAGTATTGCACAGATATAACACGTCGACAAAAATGAACAATAACTTATCACTGGAGCTATTGTTAATTATGTCAGGGCTGTTCCACTCACCTTAATCCAGGGTCGTTATTAATAATTCGCTGATTAAGTGAAACTGCCAATTCTAACGCGGGAGTGGCTGGGAATCCTTTCGTAGCGATCTCAATAGCAGGTTGAAACAAGTCTTTCCAGGGTAGCCGGCCATATTTTTTCCACGCCGCTTCAAATCCACGCAGCTCACCAGGCACGCCTAAGAATTCTCCTTCTCCTGAATTTCCAGTTTTTTGATCTGAAACAAGAAATCCAAACTGAGGATGAGATAATCAGAACACTTGCAGCACCCAGTATTCGGGAAACAGGGATGGCTCAGTGGTGAGAGTGCTCGCCTCCCACCAATGTGGCCCGGGTTCAATTCCGACCCGGCGTCATACGTGGGTTGAGTTTGTTGCTGGTTAATTCTCGCCATGCTCCGAGGGTTTTACTCCGTGTTCTCCTGTTTTCCACCCTCCACAAAAACCAGCATTCTAAATTCCAGTTTGACCAGATAGAGGACCCGAATGAAAACCGGCTTAGGCTGATGTGGCTTGCTCTCTAAATATTGTAATCTGTTTAAGCGCGGGAAAAATTTTTACCAGCGCCAATCGCACGAAAATGCACGTCAGCGAACTTACGATTAAATTTGGCTTTCTATGTTGTAAATTCTGGACGTCTGAACACACAAAGGTTTATGATGCATACCTTAAAAGAGAAACATGCCATTTCTTCTGATAAAAAGAAACAACATGCCATTATAATGAAACCAAGCGATCGTGTTGTAGCGGTTTTTAATTAATTGAGTGTCGTAAAACCAAAGCCAAAGTAGTCACTCTGACCAATCACAAAAGACACAGACAATCGAATGAACCAATCAAAACTCGAACTACGTACAAGTAGCTGACGCGAAGCGCGGGAAAACGTGCGCGAGCGCGTCACGATTGGTTTTTGTTTTACTTCTGATTGGGCGAAAAAGTGGCGCGAGTTTTTTAAGCCAATCGTGTAGCGTAGTGAGGTAAAGCCAATTACTTTTCGACACTCAAATGAAAACCACTCTACCATCAAAAGACAATAAAGGGTCTTTTTC